CCCCCGCCCACACGCGTACCTCTGCAGAATGTGTGTCCGCAGACTCTGAGTGCCGCATCTCGCCGCGACTCGGCCTTCTTGCACGCGGGGCACCGCACCATCCGCTGACAGACCAACACAATTGACAACACCCCACACACGCCAACCCACCCAACCATGTGTGGCGTGTGTTGATGCGATGCATAGGTGCCAGTGAGTACCTTGAAGTCAGTGATTCTGTCGGCGAGGGCACGGACCTTCTCTGCTGGTTGTATCTGAGCCACTCGCTCGTGCTCACAGCATCCAGCCATCGCCATCGAGAGTGTTTTTCGTTCGTATTGCCCGACTCGTGTCTGTGAGTTTTCTGTCCCACACTGACTGTCAGTGTCCATCAACCTCAGGGATACACACATGCACTACACATGCACCACACATGCACCACACTCGCTAAAATGACATTGCCTATTCGACACACAGTACTCGAAGCGCCAAAAACTGACTCAATAAAGCTCAATCAGCACAGCAGCCGCAACAGTCGCTGGTCGACGTCATTCACCTGAGGAAACACCACCACACAGAGCAAATTATCTATCTGCGCATCGTTCCATCCAGGCACACAGCGCGTACCTGTAGAGCTTCACATTGACCAGCTTCGGCCGGCCCCGAACACCCGTAGGCGGCGATGGCGTTAGCGATGGCGTTAGAGTGCAGCGGATCCCTGCCCCAGCTTCTTTCTCCACCTCCTGGCACACCATGCCGAACAGCAGGTCGACCTTTCCCGCGTCCTCCGGGAAGGTCCTGATCTCCGCCGCCTCAGGCCCCAGCCAGTCACACGCGGCGATGACCAAAGCCTCATAACTGATCTCTCTGTTAATTTCATACGTAGTTGGGCGGGGCACCTTAGCCAGAAGACCCAGCGCGACGTTGTTGGCCACGCGCCGCATCACCTCATCTCTCGACGGCGGCGGACCCTGCAGGTCGCTCTCGTTGACGTCAATGCCGAAGTATCGCATCTCGCGGACCACCTTGCGCTTGTCGACTCTGTTGTCCACGAGGAGCGGCAGACCGTCGCGGTAGTACTCGAGGACATAGGGGAAGAGGGTGGGATCACGCTCAATGAAGATGGGCTGGCCCTGCTGGATCTGTTAATACTCGTCTGTCGACTCGTTGGTCACCAGCTGACCCAAGAGGTTGTGTGGGTGCATCGCGAGCATCGACTTGGCCACGCTGAACTCCCGACCGCCGACATTCAGACGCACGACGCTCGTCATGGCAGACGCGTTGGGGATCAGCAAATGAGTTAGGGTGTAGGGTTCGGTGGTATGAAACCGACGCAACTCAGAAACCGAGGAAGCATCAGCAATCCATTCTTCGGGCGAGAGAGAGGATGACTGAGTTTGAGGGCGGCGGCTTCGAGCAGGGCGAGGACACCTCGGGCGACTTTGACTACGGCGAGTCGGGCCGCTTCGAGGGCGGCACCGACCTGGCGGGCGGCAGCGACTCCAAGGAGTGGCACAAGAGCCGCGAGGCAGTGCTGTTCGCCGTCGACTGCAGCGAGGCCATGTTTGACAAGAAGGACACGCCGGTGGAGGTCAGCGAGGGGCCCATCAAGACGCTGCGCAACGAAAAGAGAACCGTCTTCGGAGTGAGGTGGCTGGGCAGACAGATCCCACACACAGAGGGGCGCAGACACACGAGCGGCGGGCCACTTGGTGTGCTGTGTGTGATCCATCAGGACGTGTTGAAGACGGTGTGTGAGTTCATGAAGACGCGCATCATCCGCGGCAGCCGCGACAAGGTGGGCGTCATGCTCTACAACATCGGAGCCAAATGCGTGTTAGAACTGGGCGACGGCTTCAACGGTACACACACACCACCAGCACCCACACCACCATTACACTCTCTCTCTCTCTCTGTGCTGGCAACTTCAGGCATTCACGTGTTGAAGGCCGACGGCCAGGCTGGCGAGCTGCAGGTGCCCGACGCCGAGCGCGTGGCCGCCATCGAGAAGGTGGGCGACTGGACGCTCGACAAGATCCACAGCGAGTTCAAGGAGTGCGACCCGAAGGCCAAGTTGGGCGAGGTGCTTTGGCTGGCCAGCACGCTGTTCAGCCGCACCGACATCAAGAAGACCCACAACTGCCGCCTGCTCGTCTTCACCACCGAGGACGACCCCGTGGGGCGGGACAAGGCGGCATTCGATTTTGCAGTCCAACGGTGGGCGAGAGGGAGGGAGGGAGGGAGGGGGGGCTGTGTGTGCACTCGTGTGGTTTGTGTGTGTGCAGTGCCCAGGACTTGCAAGCAGAGGCCGACCTGGAGCTCTTCCCCATGCAGCCAGATGGTACACACACACACACACATCCACACACACGTGTGTGCAGCCAGACGTCCACCGCCCTTCTCACACTGACCACCCCTGTGTGTGCGCCCTTCTGTGTGTGTGTGTGTGTCAGGCCGCGAGCCGTTCAACTTCGATACGTTTTGGAGCGACGTGCTGCAGGTGGGCGAGGAGGACCACCCCGATTTCACCGCAGCCCTCAAGCTGGGCGACCTCAAACAGCGCATCTGGTCAGCCAGTCAGCCACATTCACACATACATGGCCCATCCACTGTGTGGTGTGTGTGTTGTGCAGGAGTCGTGAGTTCAAGCAGCGGACGTTGAACAGCCTGACGTTCGAGATCGCAGAGGGCGTACAAGTAGCGGGTCGGCACACACCACACCAACACACACAACACACACATGCTCTTTGTGTCTGTCATGATCTCTGTCTGTGTGGTCATGATGTGTGTCAGTCTGCATGTTCACTGAGTTGCTCCCCCAGCGGCCGCCGACGGCCATCAAGATCTGCACCGACGACAACACAGAACTCAAACCCAAAAGAGTCATGTGCGGCCGATTCCCCCCCCCCCCCCCCG